GGCAATGTTGGTAATCATTACTTATATTAAGTATCTACATACCTTGCTAACTGGACTATACACCAAGGATAGGGGCCATGTTATTTTCTGATTCCTCTTTTGTGACTTGCTGCCACATGGTTTAATAGGGACCAAAAAAGTAATATCCTAAAATCACACAGGGAGCATGTTATGGTGAAAAAGTAATATCCTACACAACAAAAATAAAAATAAAAATAATAAGTGCTCTTGGGGCTTTAGACTAGTAAAAGACATAAACTTAGAGTCAAAGCAATTCAGATTAGAAAGAACTTTAGGGATGAATTGGCATTTGAGCTGAGCTTTTTAAAGTTCACAGACACTCCACAAGAGAGAGAAAGAGCCAAAAATATGCCAAGAGAAGAGAGGAGAGAAAATGCAGGACAATTTCAAATCACTAGCTAAAGAGTAAATTACACAGGGGAATAGAAGAAGCAAATTAAACATTTTCTAAACAACCAGTGCTTAACCAGATAAGTTGATCCCTATCTTAGTTGACAGCCTCATTATTTCTTGCTTGAAACAGTTAAGAATATCCTAACTTGTTTCTCTAGTTTTGGTTTTTCCTCCTTTCAAACTACCATTCATATCAGCAATGATATGGTTTGGCTGTGTCCCCACCCAAATCTCATCTCAAATTATAGATCCCCTAATTTCCACAGGTTGTGGGAAGAACCCAGAGGGAGATAATTGAATCACGGGGGCAGTTTCCCCCATACTTTTCTCTTGGTTGTGAATAAGTCTCATGAGATCTGATGATTTTCTAAGAGGCTTCCCCTTTCCCTTGGCTCTCATTCTGTCTTCGCCTGCCACCACTTAAGACTAGCCATGTGAAACTATGAGTCCATTAAACCTCTTTCCTTTACAAATTACCCAGTTTTTCGTATATCTTTATCAGCAGTATGAAAACAAATTAATACAACCTTCTAGCCACTTGGAAGTGTGAGTCCATTAAACCTCTTTCCTTTTCAAATTACCCAGTTTTTCGTACATCTTTATGAGCAGTATGAAAACAGACTAATAGAACCATCAGATTAAGTTTAACAAAAAAATATAATGCCTTAGGAGTAGGTGAAATCACATAGGGAGCATGTTATGGTGAAAAGAGAAGAGTGATTAAGAGTAGGAGGAAAGCCGGAAGAGTGAAGGGATGAAGCCAAGGCAGGAGGAAGTTTGAGGCAGAGAGTAACTGGTACAATGAAGTGCAACTGGAAGGATGTATTAAATTTGATGACAAAGGAGATGTTGTTTTACATTGAAAATCTTTTTCTGACCTGCTGTATCTTGACATATAAAATATCTGCCTGTGTACTAATAAAATACCTCACAACATATCTTAAAGAAAAAAAATTATAATCCAAAATATCTTTAAATGTTAAAATTCTTCAGTGATTGCCCATTTTTCACAAAATAAAAGTCTAGACTCCTTACCACGGCATTCAAAGTTCTATAAGGTTCCTTCCAGCCTTGTCCCTCACACTCTCACTCATATTCTAAATTCAAGCCATACAAAAATTATTCTCTCTTCTGTACATTCTTTACACTTTCAAGCTCTGCCTCCACCCCACACTGGGCTCTGGGCATGAGATTAATTCCCTTGCCTTCTGTGAGTATGGAAAACACTCAAACTGTTTTTCCTCTCCCTTCTGACCAAAACAATCAACAGGGAAGACTTTTCTTAACAAATGTGTGGAGGTTTCTCCCCACCAACAAACAAGCAGGCAATTAATTCTGCATCAGACACTAGCTGGAACCTCCAATTCAATTCTGACACTACCCACCTGGAGACAGCATCAGATCCCACAGGTTGGGGGCTCAAGCCTCAAGACAGCCCCCACTTCCAATGCCAATGGCAAGCCCAGGTTATTCTACCTGTGCTTCTGACCAACCAGCCATGAATCCAGGTACCTACAACCCCTTTGTCGGTTCTATTAATTTGCTAGAGCAGTTGACAGAACTCAAGGAAACACTTATGTTTACAGGTGTATTACAGAGGATGTTACAAAGGATACAGATAAAGAGATGTACAGGGCAAAGAACCTCTATGCCCTCCAGAACCTGCACATGTTCAGCACTGTAGGCATGACTAATTAAACCAGTGATCACTGGTGATCAACTAAACCTTCTGCCCTTCTCCCATCCCTAAATGTTGGGGGATGGGGAGAACTTAAAGTTCTGACTCTAATCCTGCCTTGGTCTTTCTGCTGACCAGTCCCCATCCTAAAGCTACCTGGCCGGGGTGAGTGGGCCATCTACCAGTTAACTCATTAGCATACAAAAAGACATCACTACAGAGGTTTCAAGGATTTTAAGAGTTGTATGCCAGGAAACGGCATCAAAGACCAAATATGTACTTCACAGTATGACGCTTCCCAATTTCCACTTGGCAATCTTCTATTTGTCCATCAAGACTCTGCTCAAATATCGTTTCTTCTGTGAAGTCTGCTGACAATTTTCTCCTCTCAAAACATTGGTGTAGTCTTTCTAGGTTATGACAATATACTTTTTTTTTGACATAGTCACTTGTATTTTTAAATTCTTTTGAAAAATTATAACTGTATGCAATTATGGCATTATCTGTGATGTTATAATACATGTATACAGTATGGAATAATCCAATATGTCTTTTCAATTATAATACAGCACTTCTCAGACTTCACTTGAATAACTGTTTTCATGTTCATCCATCTCTAGACAGACTATTTTCTGAGTATAGCAAGGAACCTGTTTTATTTAATGTTTTGTATTCCAAGCACCTAACACAGTACCTGGCATAGGGTAGGTGTTTAATAAATGTATAAACGGTAAAAGAAATGGACAGACAAAGGCAAAGCTATATTATCTTTAAAATTAGAGAAATTTGTCCTTACTCTGACAGACAGGTAAAGTGTCACTGACAATACATGCAAAATTACCTCTTAAGATAATTTAAGCTGGCAACAACATGGAAAGTGAAGTAGGAGTGAGAAGCAGCACAAGTTGGGAGATCCCTGCAATATTTTCAGTGAGATGTAATATAAAGACCTAAACTTGGATAGTGAAGGGGGATTCGGAAGGAGAGGATGCAAACATTCGAGATCTATTAGAGGTAAAACTGATAGAGCTTCACTTGTGACTGGCGGTAGGAAGCAAATGAGGAGGAATCCAATACAGCACTGAGACTCTGAGCCTGGGTGACAGAGAGGTCCATTAACAGAAGGAGAAATAGCGGGTGCAGAGCTTGTGATGAATGATGTGACAGATAATGGTAAGTCTGAGGCACTAAGCCGAGCCATCTGCAAACAGCTGAAAATACAGGCTTGAAGCTTAGAGAAAATGCCACAACTGAGACAGGAAGTTGAGAGAGATCATTTTAGAGATAATTGCAGAAATCAAGAGACTAGAAAACACGTAAGAAAAAAAATTCCGAAGATAAAACCTTGCGAAAGGTCATTGTTATTTAAGAGTAGGTGGGGAAGGAAAAAAAGGTGAAAGAGGAATTAAATAAGTAGAATCAGAAGAGCACACAGTCATGGAAACCAAAAGAACTGAGAAAGAAAAAAATGACACCTATTATAGCAATCAAACAATATGAAACCTAATAAAAGAATTCGAGTCACTGTATTTTTCAGAAGAGCCAACCCAGCAATTCAGCAGGGGCAGCAGAAGGGCAAGTGGATGTTGCAAGAATTAACAGAAGCAGTGAGCAAAGCCTACCACTTCCAGAAGCGTTAAGCGCAGACCGCCTCATAAAACCTTATGTCCTACCTATTGCTTAAAATGTAGATCCCTAAAGAATTCCCACCTTTTACCTGATCATCACAGTCTCTAAATGCATTTTAAAACAGTAAGCCTGATTTCCCTGTAATACTGTCTTAGGATGGCTTCTGCCCTCCTATTTCTGGCATGACTGCAGCTCTTACCTCTTTAAATTCTATTTCCAAAGATCTATTGTTCTAATATGTTAAAAAAAAAAATCTTATCCTGGGCTGGGCTTAGTAGCTCATGCCTGTAATCCAAGCACTTTGGGAGGTTGAGGTGGGAGGATCACTTGAGTCCAGGGGTCAACACCAGCCTGGACAACAGAGAGAGATAATATGACCCTGTTTCTACAAAAAAAATTAAATAGCTGGTCATGGTGATGCCTTCCTGTAGTCCCACCTATGTGTGAGACTGAGGCAGGAGGACTGCTTGAGCCCAGTGGTGTGAAACTATGCTCACACCACTGCACTCCAGCCTGGGTAACAAAGCAAGAACCTGTCTCCCCCCACCCCCCAAAAAATAAAAATCCTGAATTCTAGAAAGCATAAAATTTCAGAATAGCAAACTTTTTTTTTTTTTTTTCCAATATAATCTTGCTTATTTTTTTTGAGACAGGATCTCGCTCTGTTGCCCAGGCTGGAGTACAGTGGTGTGATCTCAACTCACTGCAACCTCTACATCCTGGGTTCAAGCAATTCTCATGCCTCAGCCTCCCAGGTAGCTGAGATCACCGGCTTGTACCATCACACCCAGCTAATTTCTGCATTTTTAGTAGAGACAAGGTTTTGTCATGTTGGCCATGCTGGTACCGAACTACTGTCATCAAGTGATCCCCCAGACTCAGCATCCCAAAGTGTTGGCATTACAGGCACATGCCATTGCGCCTGACCTAATCTTGCATTCTGAACGCTGCTTTGCAAACTCGGGGAAGAAATAAATGTGTAAACCATTTAATGCTTATCTTCTAAAAGGAGATTTATGAAAGTGATTAGTAAGAAATAAATATCTTTTTCTTCTGAAGAGGTTCAACATTTATAAGGAAAATACATTAGAATTACTTATGAACTCATCAGAAAGATGATTAAAGAAACTAAAGAAGCTAATATAAAGTTGTGGTGTTAAAAAGAAACTGAAGAAAGCTCAAATAAAGTTGCAGTGTAGAAGGATTACTTTTCACCATTAAAAAATCAGAAACTTTGTATTATTCTTATGTTCTTTTCCTAATTATGTCTTTTCCTTACCTCCAAGATGTGGCTAGGTAAAACTTTACTTCCAATTTTCTCCGAACAGCTTTGACCTATGCTTCCATCTCATGAATTCCAAGACAGTATTAAACTGATGCATATTTCCATAAGTCTGTTTAGGAAAAAAAAAAAACTAATTTAAGATTTAAGAAACTTTGTCAGAATAACACATGTAGAAGCAATACTAGAAGTGTTTCAAATGTAAAACTATACATTTTCAAGGTAAAGTCAATGAAAATTTCTACAGTTTTTAAGAAATCTATCACTTTACCATTTTCTTCAACCTCTCCCCAAACTTTACACTTGTGAAGTTAGTTCTGTGGGAATAGTAGTACTTCCATATAAAATTCCTATCTTAGCTTAAGCTTTGGAGAAAAAAAAAAAAATCTCATCTCAATTTGGAAAAAACAGGAATAGCTAGAAGCAGCACTAAAATGTACAATTCTACAATATTCAGATTCCTACTTAGACAAAAACATAAGGGACCACCTAGCTAGTATCATATTTTTTTCTTTTTTATTACAAAGTCTCATAACCACTTTTAATTTAAATCTAAAAGATAGAAACTATTGGAACTTTAAAAAATATTTTTTTTTTTTTGAGACAGGGTCTTGCTCTGTTGCCGAGGCTGGAGTGCAGTGGTGCAATCTCAACTCACAGCAACCTCCACCTCCCAGGTTCAAGCAACAAAAAAATTTGTTAAGATATGTCTGCTCTTTACTTAGAGATCTTAAAAATAATTTCATTGAATCTTTTAACAGAAACTTCAAATAGCAAAGTATTCTGTTTCATATTTTAAAAGGGAATGTCCCATTGCAAGGTCAAATATCTTGTCTTCAAATCCATTTAGAAGTATCACTTGTGTCACACTGAGTTTAGCAGTCTTGGCAATAATAACTAAATTCATGTAAACTGGGGCAACCTGAAACAGTCTACCATATCAGATAGTAGTCTTTCTTAAAGACAAGAGTCTCCACTCAGCAGACAGGCTGCTGTATCTTTCATGGTCCAGCTAAAGACAGCCTGACCCTGAAAGCAATTAGTAATGCTTTGTCTGCATTCAGGAGCCTTTCACAGTCTTCTCAATGTACTAGTTACCCACAACTCAGCCAGGTCCCTAACACTTTTCAGAGTCCTCATACGACTATAAAACTCTCAGGCTGTCCCTCAGAGAAATGAGGGAAGGCAAAAATAAAGAGGTGGTGTTTAGTGTTCTTCTGAGATGCTCATATTCTTAATTTCCCTTTTACTAATTAAGAAAAGAAATGCATTGTTTCCATTTTGGAAGTGGCATAAAGAGATTTTCCACCAAAGCCATTCTTTGCCAATGACTCCATTTCTCCCTAAGGGTGTGGGAGAGAAAAGAGGCAATCACAGAATTAAACAAAGTTCAAATTAATTTATTCCCGTGAAAGTAAAAACAGTCCATTAAAGCGTCTGTTTTAAAAATATATGGCCTAGCTGGGTGCAGTGGCTCATGCTTGTAATCCCAGCACTTTGGGTGGCCGAGGTGGGTGGATCACTTGAGGTCAAGAGTTGGAGACCAGCCTGACCACCCCTCCCCCCACCCCACACACACAGCCTGATTCTAATTCTACCAGATATTTCCAATGTATCAAACAATAAAATTAACACGTAAACTACTTAACAACTATTGTTTGTTACAGCACTATTTACTATAACTTTGTTTCCTTGGCCAAAAAGTTTTAGGTTTTGAACTAAATCTAAAGTTAAAAAAATAGAGAACATAACCAAAAGAGCTTTCAAACATCCCATCTTCAAAGTCCAAAACCTCAGATAATCTGTTCTTCCCCTGTTCTCCCACATGTACAAACACTTAACATAAACTTCAGAAACTGTTTTCTTTCTTTTTTTTTTTTTTTTTTTTTTTTTTTCTTGAGACAGGCTCTGGCTCTGTTGCCCAGGCTGCAGTGCAGTGGCACAACCATGGCTCACTGCAGCCTCTACCTCCTGGACTCAAAGAATCTTCCCACCTCAGCCTCCCAAGTAGCTAGAATTACAGGTACACCCTACCATGCCCAGCTAATTTTTATATTTTTTGTAGAGATGGGGTTTTGTCATATTACTCAGGTGGTCTCGAACTCCTGGGGTTACGGAATCCTCCCACCTCAGCCTCCCGAGTAGCTGGGACTACAGGTGAACACTACCACTCCTGGCTAATTTTTACATTTTTTGTAGGGACAGGTTCACATCATGTTGGCCAGGCTGGTCTCGAACTCCTGACCTCAAGTGATCCACCTGCCTTGGCCTCCCAAAGTGCTTGGGTTACAGGCCTGAGCCACTGTGCCCAGTCCAGAAAACCTTTTCTAAAGACTGAACTTAAGACTAGGTAGTCCTGCACATGTATCCCAGAACTTAACAAAATAGACCAGCTAAGGAAAATCAAGTAAGATTTGACTTGATTACTCAGAGGTAAACAAAAGACACAGGAAAGGATGCGTCCACAGTACAGGTCTGGTAGTCACTTTGTACACACTGGAAGCTGTATAAATAAAGGTTAGGACCTTTGCAATATAGTGCTATAGTCATATGATAGCACAAATCTATAAATATGTACACACATAAAAATAGGACTTAGATAGTCAAAATGTTCCAAACAACTTTAATCACTTAGCTTATTAGGTAATTTACCACAGGCTTTTAGCACTATGAACTTGTGGTTCAACCACTACCAGGGGTGTTAGTCAAAACAAAATGCTAAATAAGTACAAGTCATTTTTTCAAAGATTTTGTGTCTGAAATTTCTAAGCCTATTAGTTGTAGAAAACACATTAAAAAGAAGGCAATTCTTTTAAAAACATATGCAAGCTTCTTAATGACATGGAAAAAATGAAAATCAAAGTTTTCTAAATATATTCTAACATTAATAATTCAGAGCTAACATAAAAATTTCCTCAACATTAATAATTATTTGCAAACAAACATGAAAAGTTCATTTTAATCCCACATTTCCCTTACAAAATATCTTTTCTTGTCATCAAAATGTACACATCCACCTTGATTTTCAAAATTATTAAAATGGCTAAATCTTAAACGAACTAAGATACTTTAAAGATCACTACCCATACAGAATCCAAGGACAAGCACTGATTATGGATATCATACCAAATATCTGTAAGGTTTCAGAATGTCACCCACTGATTTATATTATTAGCAAGATTTGCTTTACAGAAAAGAACAGTATAAATATTCTTTACTCAATCTAGGCCAAAACACCTTTATTTTTTTTTTAAAGACAGGGTATCACTGTCACTCAGGCTGGAGTACAGCGGCACGATCATGGCTCACTGCAGCGTCGACCTTCCAGCCTCCTGCTTCAGCCTCCCAAGTAGCCAGCACCCATGGCCACGTTCTATGCCAAAATTTAAGATTAACTTTGAGCTTGTACCAGATATCAACATGTAATGGAATTCTTAGAATTTGGTGGAATCAACAACACTGATTCCACATTTTTTCCTTCTGCTGCTCCAAATCCCCTCTTTCCTACCATTTCTCCTCCCTTCTCCGCACCCAGAAAAAGCACCCCATGCACTGTACAAACACTGCTGCAAACACTATAGCTGCATTTATATGACCGTTAAAAAAAAAGAAAAACAGAGCCAAATTACAAAACAACCTATATTTGACAAACATTTCAGTTGGGTTTTTAAAGATATTACTGTTACTTTGGTACATTAACTAGAAAACTCAAACATTATGTTCCAGAAAAACATAATGTGGCTTTAGCTATAAATAACTAAAAACTATAAATAACTCAAACGAACAGTTAACTTAGGCTAGTGTGCCATGCACTCCTATAATAAAACATGTAACCACGTAACTAGAAAGGGAAGGTCAACTCATGAATGGGTTGTGTTCTAAATTTCTAAAAGTTCATTTATAAATTGAATGTAAGTTTGATTTTGAAACTCAAGATGTCTTTACTCATAAAACCAAACATATATACAGCTGTACTAAATCCATAATCCAGAAGAACTTTGGTGTACAAATCTATCATAGCACTCTTCCATTTAAGCTTATATTTATGTCAAACTACAAGTTTCTTATTTGTTTCTGTATCCTAGAATCCAGAACAGTGAATAGCACAGAGTAGGATTCTGGCAAGTATTTACTGTTGTGAGGTGCTGAATAGTAACAACTCAGTGATATAAAACTAGTCTGCAAGAAAATCTAACCTATCTGAGCTATAGAACAGAATCAAAAGGCAAGGAGAAATGGCTTCTTCCAGAAGAGATGACAGAAGAAGATACTTGGGCTAGAAAGCTCTGTTCTAAACCACCAACTGCAGCAATTTCCATTCCCCTTGCAAGTGGGTAGTCTGTTAACACACATCTAATGCAATTCTGGCCAAGGAGACAAGAAAGTTAAGTTTGCTAGAGAGCTTTTAGGAAAGTTTTTCTAGGCTGATGAAAAAAGACCCATGATGCTTCCAGCCTTTTTACATGCAATTCTGGTTCTGAATGTGTAAACAAGAACTGGACCATGAGAACAACCCAACAGATAAAGAACCGCAGCAGCATTAAAAGATGAAAAGAACCTAGGTCCTTGGTGATGCTGTCATGCTTGAATGAATTAATCCTAGAATCATCTTAACATAGATCTTTTTATATTAAATTCTTTTACTGTTTAGACAATTTGCCACAAGTAACTTAGCAGACAGGGTGACTTAGGAACCGATACATCATTTACTATCATGAATTTAATTGTTGTCTACACAAGGTAAACTGCCTTAAATTTATACCTCAGCCCAGATCCTTCTTTTGAACTAGGTATATGTTTCCAAACTCTCTATTAAATGTTTATTCCAGAGACACATCAAGAGAACAGGATCAATATAAAAACCATCATTCACCAGCACAAAATCTGTTTATGTACCTGTAGTCACTTTTTGGCTAACGGTACTACCGTTAGCCAAAAAGTGCCCAATTGCCAAAGATTAAAATCTTGGGATCACAAGCCCCACCTCCCTCTGCTTCATCTATTATACTCGGGAGTTACGAAATGCTGCTCATTCTAACTCTGATACACATATCTTTAAAATGTCTCCCCATCTCTACACACACTGTCTAGTGTGGGTGCTCCTTTTTCATG